TTTTCCTGCTCATTTTTCTAAAGTAAAGATATATTTGATATATTTGATATCATTCTGTAGGTTGTCCTTTGTGCCTCCATAGTAGATCTCTTTGATATTATGTGATAACGGTTGCCATAGATAATTTGAAATATGTTCAAAATGTATGATATTTTTCATCATCTTTCAAGATGCTGTTTATCTATTTATCTGAATTGTATAATATTTACTGCCATTTATTTTAAAAAAAGTTGAAGCACTCTTTACCTTAATCATTGGTTGGCATTTGTCTCGCAAATCACAGGACATGTTTTCTTGAAGAAATGTAATACTAAACTTACCATTTGTTTTATTCGGGTTTTTAAACAACTCATTAACTATTCCCTGGTTTTACAGTTGACTCGCGTATCTTAAAAACCGGTTTTTATATAATTAGCACTTAGTATTTTAAACTCTGTAATCAGTACAATTTAAATTTTAATTGTTGTGCATTGGAAGCATTGTAACATACAGGGTTGGTTAAAAATTAGTCTTGTTATCCTACTCAAGTTTTCTGTACATAAAGTAAATATTTTAACTCAAATAAGTTTTTTCTGTCATTGTCATGTCATGGTGAACCAAATTAACCTTTAGGGAGGTAAATTTAAACACGTGAACCAGATTAGTGCAAGGTCTGGACAATAAGCCCGGTTACGAACTTTCTTTCCTTGCAAAGTGGAAACATGATTTTTAACACATCCTGTATTCTGTAAATTCTTTTACGTTTGTATATAATATATATGTACAATGGTATTCGCGTACACTTTATATAGAATAGTTGTAAATATGTTTGTTTACTTTATTTTGTGAATCCGGATAAAAAGCTTTAATCTTTCAAATTGTCATTGTATTGTTAGAATCAGTTTTATTTTCACCAGAGAAAAGAAATATAAAATATTCCTCACTAATTGATATTTTTGATATTCCGCTGAAAAAAAAACAAGCTTGAGCGTAACTGCTGAAGGGCAATTATAATCATAGCTATGAAGTCTTGCTCGACACACACTGAATATGAATTTATGTTGTTAATCATTTTTAAGTAAAAGTATGTCAAGCCCCGTTCTTAACAATGAATTCATACCACTCCGTTAGTGAATACCTACTCTCTGGTTTCTCTTTCGGAATTAAAAGTAAAAAACATGACATAGTTTTAAAATTATTCGTTAAGATCATAATTTAATAACCTCGCGACAATAAAATTGCTTTTGATATCTGGAAAAGTTGCCAAATTTCATGCCATGGTTTTATGGTTCAATGATTATATATTCCTTATGAAGTATGAGACAAGTAAGAGTCATTTTAGGCAAGGTTATAATGCAAGGAAAGTTATTTCAGAGGTGTACGCATCTTTCGTACTGGGCGGTAATGTAAACACAAGACGGATGTCACAGCCTGACGGATCTATCTTTCACATAAAAAAATCAATGAAATATTCTGATCAAAGGAAACTATAATGTGAGTTATCAAAATTAGATGCTTTATCCTCCACGGATACAAAACAAAAACTGAAGTATCTATTCTTGTTTGCAAATTCAGCCCAGAGAGAACTGGTTTCAATATGTGCGCCGAGTATACGCAACTGCAATTAACTTTCCTTGCATTATAACCTTGATATTAGGGAAGTAATATAGAAAATTGTCTGACAATAATAAGTTATGATTTTGGGTTTTGTATTTTGATTAGCCAGCAGTGAGCCATGAAGAGCCGGGAACTGCCGACCATAGCAGTACGTTGATCGGGATGTATTGTTCAGGCCGATTCCTAGTCACTATTTAGTTATAATAGTATTAATACAAAATATATTAGGCTAAGGATCTTTGTTAGACCATTGCATTCATGGAACGCAACTAGGGATTTGAATATTCAAAATTTTGTTTAAAAAAAACAGGATCTCAGAAGCATGAAGTAAAACAAAAGGAAATAAATAATAACATATCCTGCAGAAAAGCACAAAAGGAAAGGTTTTTATCGAAAAGCTTAAACAATGGAGTCTCAGAGAGACATAAATATATAGTCAAGACATTAAAAAAATCCAGAAAGTAATACAAAACCTAAATTCACAACTTGTTTTTTCCGGATACTTTTTTCCTAAAATGATCATCCTAGGTTTTACGTGTCTCATACTTCATATGGAATATATAATCTGAGAAAAACTAAAATTCAAAATATTAAATTTAAAGAAAAATGTTAAATAAAAATTTTTTGTAAAAATTAAATTAGAAATAAGCCAGTGTTTGTTTTCAGAAGTCCGAAAAAGTGCCTTTATGCCCTTTATGCATGGGTTCAGCGCCCCCTTGGCACTCAACTTACGCAGAGATGGAATTTAAAAAATTTAAGCCGCAGTTTAAATCTGCCAAAACCCGGTTTAAATTAAGCGTCGGCTTAAATCTGGAAACATTTGATACAATTTTAAGTGAAACCAACCAAATTTAAGCTGCGGCTTGAATTTAAACCGCCGCTCAAATTCTTTAAATTCGGCCACTGGGTACATTCACTTTTATTAAAAACCTTTTATATAAAATAGTAAGTCTGCTCAACCATGTCAATGATTATTAGTTTACTGTAGAATTTTGTTTAAATTTTTGTCGTCGTTATTTAATATTTTAAAAAACTATTTTTGAACGACGTTCAAAATAGTAAAAATTTACAGATCTTTAAAAAGTTTTTTTTTACATGTCTCAAATGAATTCTAAAGAATTTGTCCACTATACTTAGTTCAATTACCTTACATAGCCTGTAGTGTCTATGTCCCTTAAAATATAACCAAAAAAGAAAAATGTAAATATCCTAAAAGTTAAATTATTGGTGATTTTGTAAAAAAAACTACAGATTTACTTCGAGATCTATTATTGGTCCGGAGCCATTTTTTGTGGCTTCTAGATTTTAAATCTAAAAATGAACTTATTCCGTCGGACTAATAAAGATACGGATTATTACTTTTTGAAGGGATTAAAGATACATAGTTCCGACCTCAGGTAAAAAGAAATCTCCATGATAATTATTCGGAGCTGAAAACTTTTGAATGGGATATCCTTAATCCCGATCAGTTAATTAATCTGAGCTTGAAACTTTAGAATGGGATATCCTTAATCCCGATCGGTTAATTAATCTGGAGATTAAAAACAAGAAGAGAACAAGCATATTTTAACTTGGAGATTAAGAAAAAGAGTGGATCAAGTATTAATCCCGATATCCACCATTCAAAAGTTCCCAGCTCTGGAGATTGATAACAAGAGGAGAACAAGCATTATTTAATCTCGAGACAAAGGAAAAGAGTGGATCAAGCATTAATCCCGATATCCAGAAATCAAAAGTTCCCAGCTCAGTTGAATTTATTTAGTTGTGTGTATATATATATTATATATATAAATATACATATGTACATATATAAATATATATATACATATATATATATATATATATATGAGTTGTGCCGCGGGAGTTTATCCATTTGTAAAACGTCGTTGAGCTGTCCAGACCTGAATAAATGCTAGATGATTCTATTAAGGAGAACATAGCAACTGCAGAAGTATATACTAAACACACACACACACCCATACCAACAACACTCACATTTTCAGACATCTTAAAAATATCAATCAAAACAATGACTTAGGCCTGATGCTCATAAATGTAGTAAAATCGCTTTTGATTTCCAATTTATTAAATAAAGCATTTCAATTCTCCAGTTCACTAAAAATTGCTTTTTTTACAATTAAAAAATTTGTCTGATTTTAAAAAATACTTCTTTTCCTAACATATAGTATTTAAAAAGATATTTATCTAAACTCTGAGTTTTCAGTCGGTTTTTTCTATTTTATATATACTTTGTTTGTCTGCCTGTCCGTTGGTATCCAAAAAACGGCTTAAACGATCGGGCCCCGGAAAGGTTTATTGATGCTCAGAATTACAAAAAGTTGTCTCAAAAAATTTGTGATAGTCTTTAAATTTTCAAGATCCACGACAAATATTTAAAAATCCGCTTAATTTTGTGTTATCTGTATAATAAAACAAAACATTCTTATATAATATAAATGTTCCCTTATAGACAACTGGAATGAATGGTCTGAAAAGTTTTGTTGATACTGAACCGATTGTGCCCAATGGCCCAATTTAGAATTTTTTTTTGTGGAGGGGGGGGCGAATGAAAGGTCTATGTCCAGTGGAGGTGTATTACGCGCGTGGTATGGTGATTCAAAATTTCAAAACGTTCCTGACAAATTATTTCCTTAAAATGACACCACAAATGAAATTTAGAATTAAAAATACGATTGATATAAATTTCTGTTTAATCTGAGCATAAAGTGCAGAAAAATAGAAGTAACTAATGCTGTGTGAAGGAAATATACTGAAGTGTTAATGATTAATTGCCGGTATATTCGATATATTCTGATCAAGTGTAAACTCTAGGACAAGAAGTTACTTGTTGAATAAATAAACAACTTGGATTGGCTCGGGGAGTCAAAATAATCATTTAAAGGGATCAGGGGGTTCTTGTTAAGTTTTTGGATTATAAGTGAGATTGAGTCAATGGATTTAAATTGAAATTATTGAATTTGCCAATAATTCAACAAATCAATCAATTTTTTTATTTCAAAAGGAAAGTGTTTTCAAGAGAATGGTTAATATGGTTAGTTTTTAAGAAAATGTGTTTTTTACATTTTTTTAAATTAAAATTTGTTTTCAATATTCTTTAAATAGTTTTATGATATCAGAAGTAAATATTTTGACTTTTCTATATTTCTTGTTCTTCCTTTACTTCTTTTTCATACATCTTTCAATCATATTTCGGCTAATTTTGAAAAAAAAAGAAAATGTTTAATTTGGTTAGTTTTCAAGAGAATGGTTGATATGGTGGTTTTCAAGAGAATGGTTGATATGGTTAGTTCTCAAGAGAATCGTTGATATGGTTGGTTTTCAAGAAAATGTTTGATATGGTTGGTTTTCAAGAGAATGGTTGATATGGTTCGTTTTCAAGAGAATGGTTGATATGGTTGGTTTTCAAGAGAATGGTTGACATGGTTAGATTTCAAGAGAATGGTTGATATGGTTGGTTTTCAAGAGAATGATTGATATGATTGGTTTTCAAGAGAATGATTGATATGGTTGGTTTTCATGAGAATGGTTGATATTGTTGGTTTTCAAGAGAATGATTGATATGGTTGGTTTTCATGAGAATGGTTGATATTGTT